ATCTTTTGACTCCAATCTATGCTTCTCTTAGAATCTTCCATTTTTATCCAATAAACCGCATACTCGATCATGAATATATTTCCAGCTCTATGAGGGAAAGGTGTTTCAGATTCTGAAATGTCACTCAACTTTCCTCCATAGGGACTAACCTGTAATTCAACACCTGTGTTTTCGCCCAATTGGTTGTAAAGTTTCCATATACCTTCAAGACCCTTTATAGAAATTGGGTGTTGGACATAGTCTGATTTCCCTTTAAAATATATATGTAGATTACTTGTGGTATTCCAATTTAGTAACGCATCAGGTGATGTGCCATTAGGGAAACCGCCATAGAAGAATATTATAGATTCAATCCAACTCATCTCAGTGCAATCTTCTTTCATTAATTCTAGTTCCGGGAAGCTCTTTTGCATCTCGTGGAGGAGTTCATCTACTCCTCCAACAAACATTGTAGAGAATATGGCTTGGATACTCCTTTGTCCAGGCTTGAATGGAGATTGAACATTGCTCTTCAGGAAGAGCCTCAGGAGGAGATTGTCATCAACTTTGTCCGCTATATGTTGCCATTTGTAAATTAGTTGAGTTGCATTTTGTTCCAACGTTCGTGTCACGTTGAATACGGTTACCTTTTCTGGAATATCATGTAATTTCACTTTCCATGAGATAATGAGACCAAAACTAGTCCCTCCACCTCCTCTAATAGCCCAAAAGTGATCCTCACCCATTGATTCTCGATCCTTGATTTGTCCATTAGCATCGATTAATTTTGCATCAATGATGTTATCAGCAGCAGTACCAAATTTCCGTGCCAACATACCATAGCCTCCACCACTAAAGTGTCCACCAACACCAACATTGGGGCAAACTCCAGCAGGAAAGGTCAATTTTTTACTTTTTTCTGCGATTCTATAGTAAAGTTCCCCTATGGTGGCGCCAGCTTGAATCCAAGCAGTCTTTTTGTTGGTATCAATGGCTATTGATCTTAGGTTTCTAAGATCAATTATGAAAAAAGGGGTCTCTGAAATGTATGACAGTCCCTCATGGTCATGTCCACCGCTTCGAATTCTGATTTGTAGGTCATGTAACTTGGAGCAATGTATAGCTACCTGGATTTGAGATTCGTTGGTAGGAGTAAAAATAATTGATGGTTTGAAGTCGGAGGTTATCCTTAGGTTATCTGAAAAGGAGTTCAAAAGGGTGGAATATGATGAGTTTTTAGGAGTGTGGATGACTTGTGATGAGTTTGAGTTCATAATTTTGTGAGAAAGGCATTCAAGAAAGTCATCATGAGTTTTGTTGGACCATGAATAGGATGATGAAAACCAAATAGAAAGAAAAAGAAAGATTGTAAGCTTAGTCATAATTGTTGGACTAAATGGAAACTAACAACTTCTATTTATAGTTTTACGAGTATTAGTTTTATTCACATGGAAGATGCAGGGGCTTCCTCATGGCTAACGTGGATTATTTGTTTTTATTCTTATTTTTATTTTAGGGTCATAATTATTAATTATTTTTTTGTTTTCTACCCAGTTTTAGTGTCTGGTATTCACATTCTATTTGCTCCTGAAAATGACTTTGTGTCACTAAGTCCAAAGAAATTTTATCTTTGAATTTCTTATACTATTAATATATTATCGCACTCGTTCTATGTTGTATCATGTTAAACATGAGGAAGTATGTGCATCTTTTATTTATTCTGGTAACCCGATTCTTATAACCGAGGCATCTGATTAAGTGTGGAGGGATCTCAACTATCCCACCAACAATTCGTGTTGGTAATTCACAACACATTGAATAACATAGTGAGGCAGGAGAGGTTGTGCTGACAATCAAGAACACATCTAGCAAGAAGAAGGAGGTGTTTTACCAACACAAGATATCACTACAAGAAACTGGAATTTTAGTGGCAACAAATGTCACTACAAATAGCAAGAAAGTCGCCTAAAGATTTTCAGTGGTGACATTACAGTTGTTGCAAGTACTTTCATAACTAAATGTTATTTGTGACGACAATAATAAATCGCCACTAAAAAAGGTGCTGACTATTGTTAGTGACTACTTCAATCGCCACAAAACATTCTACCTTTAGTAGCAACTCCCATCGCTGCAATGGATTTCATGGCGATATTACTATTTTTTCAAAAAAAAGAAACTAATGCTATTTGATTTTGAAAACTTTACTTAAATAATATATTTTATTTGATTAATTACCTTTTTAATGTTACCTTTTTATTTATTATCATTGATGACATAACTTTAACTTTAATAACCATTTGATATTTGATACCATCGGAGTATATATATACTCCGTTGTATCAAGGAAGTATATTTTGGTGGTATCAAGGAAGAAAAACTCACTTAAGTGAAAACATTACTAAGTTATTCCTTGATACCATCAGAGTATATATATACTATATACTCTGATGGTATCAAGGAATAACTTAGTAATGTTTTCACTTAAGTGAGTTTTTCTTCCTTGATACCACCAAAATATACTTCCTTGATACAACGGAGTATATATATACTCCGATGGTATCAAATATCAAATGGTTATTAAAGTTAAAGTTATGTCATCAATGATAATAAATAAAAAGGTAACATTAAAAAGGTAATTAATCAAATAAACATAAATT